GATTGTGTCATTGAGAAAATGCGGCTTTTCTACAGTTCTAGTTTCATCCTGATGGGTTAGCTGTAACACGGGATGCTGACATGAGGCACCTTTTGAAATAAATATCTACCTACCGACTGCTCTATTGGCTCTCTTGCTGAAGCAGCTGCATGTACTGAAACTCCATTATTCCCTCTGTATAAAAATTATAGCAAAATACAACATGATCCTAGCCCATTGTCCTTAACTCGAGACGAATTACCTATGGAATAGGGTGTATATGGGGGATGCCCTCTCTGTCCCCTTTATAGTCTCTTGGTCTCGAGTTATTTTTAGAATCGGGATAAAGTTACCTCGCGCGCTGCGTGGATGTTTCGTGGAGGTTCCGCATGACTAAACGTCGTGCAAAACATGTCGGGCGAAAGGCAATGAAAGCGTAAAGAGATCGAGAGCATTTCTGAATAATGAAGCGAAATGAGTCGGGGCTCACCTGGGAAAAGGGAATCGCTAGACTCTTTGACAACCCGTGAAATCAGTTTAACTCGAAGTTGTCGTAACTTCAGTGCTTTAATAAAATGAGAAATTTCGCCGGTCTATTGAAACCGGTCGTTTGTATAATAAAGCAAGTAGGACGCCAAGTGTTATTTTTGTTGAATAATAAAAGACTAATGAAAGAATAAATGTAGGTTGAGTTTGATCGTCCGGTTGAACGTAGTCCTGAATAGGACTGTTGCTGTTACCAGTGACTGACGTTTCGACAACCTGTGCGGTAGTCATCTTCAGAGTCAAAGTGAGTTGTATCACGTCACGTCACAAAAGAATAAATATCAAACCAGAAATTGCTCTCTTCAAACTGTAAATTATAAATGATCCTGAGAGAATACACCCCCTCCCTACTGTTTTTAAATCTATACCTTTCGTTGCCTTCCGACGTACTAACAAGCCGGAACCAGAATTCTCGATCAGTTTTGCTTAACACATCGACAACAATTTTCCATGGTCTGTACTCTTATCGACCATAGGAATGACATCAAAATGTTCAAAACTGATTTCATTGTAAGGTTTTGAGCATTTTCACGTCATTTCTATGGTAGATAAGAGTAAAGACCATGGAAATTGTTTTCGATTTGTCTTTTACAATAACATTGACAGCTTTTGTCGTCCATTTCCGTTGACTTTTCGCTGAAAATTGTGGGAAAGAAAAAACAAACAACGTGCGCCACCATCACTTCCTTTCCATGGTGTGTACTGACTGTACTGTTATCGACACTAGCTCTTGCCCAATCAGCGGGCGAGAAATCGCTTAGTTATTATAAAAAAATATTGTAACTAATTATTTTATGACGTTAGCCAAAGGTAGTTGTAATAAAAACAGTCATTTCCTTAGGTTCCGTCGGTTCCGCCGGTTCCACGGTTTCGCGGTCTGCAGTCCTCAGTTGGTATTTCTCTTGGATACCAAGGTTACGTCAGACTTGGCGCTACTTTTTAAAGTGCGCGTCTTAATTAACGCGGTGAAAAATACAGCTTCGCCTCAGTCCAGCACTAACTAGTTTTTACACAAAATCAAAGTTAAAATTGAAACGACGGTTTTCAAGTTTCGAACATTTCGCGAGTAACTCAGTAAAAAGCACCCAGAATAACGGTCAAGAAAGGCTAAAACCGTGAGCCCATCTTTTTTTTTACTTGCTTTAATTGTACTAATAATACATCATTATCAATTGTAACCCAATTGTCAAGTTTGAGAAAAGAAATTCTGTTTAGTCGTCATTTTGAAAGGAATTACTTTAAATATCGTAAATAAACTTAATTCTAGTCAAAATTTAACATTGGTGGTCATATTGTCGAACTTTTCAGCGAAGCCATTTCTCAATTTCTTCGTTTCACGAGAAAACTAAATGTCAATAATAACAACAACGAGAGTGCTTTCGCGAGCACGTTGTGATAAGACAACAACGAGAACGGCAAAAAAGCAATAGGTTTATATTAGCAAAACAACAGCTTTGCACGTGCATCACGTTTTTTTGCACATTTCTCTGCCGTCGTTGCACGTCGCTAGTTTCCTAAAACGTGATACTGCCTAATTTGCATATTTTGTGAAGGCAGCAAGTTTCTCTTTCTTTTCCTGAACTTTGATGCAGTCCGTTAGAATTCAACTGCAAAAAATATTTGCCAACATTTGACGAATTAAACGAGATGGCGGGAGAGGCGGCGCAAATTCAATTTGTAAGTGACGTTTTCGTAGCCGTGGCCGTCGTTTAAAGCCTTTTAAAGTACGCTGTGGCTATCTATATGCCCGGCAGCCGGGAAGGGTCTTAAAAAAAACTAAAAGCCCGGCAGTCAGAAAATTTTTCTAATCGTCTGAAAGTATTCTATCTTCATTTAGAATCACCAAGC